TGCCCGCACCGTCATGCACACCAGACGGTGCCCCCACAGCCGTGCCTGCCTGTCCCTCCTACAGCCTCCTCTCAGGCCACTGACCCCGTGGCAGTCCCCTCCCCCCCCGCCCCCCCGCTGGGCTCTTTCCAGTGTCTCATGAGCTAGAAATATGTGCAAAGAAGCTCAGATTCCCTACTAACCAAATGCACATGCTTTTAAATGAGACCGTGTTAGCAGTATTAAAGGGGTAAATTCCTGACACTCAGTTCGGGTGAGGATAAGCCAAGACTAGCATCTGTGCGGGTGCAGGCTGGAAATAAATGGCCTTCGAAGTGGCTGCAGTGGTCACTGCAGTGTGAACTGGCCTGGATCGCGGGGCCCAGACGTCTGGTTGAATATCAGTCTCGGGGCGCCTGGGTGGCTTAGTCGGTTAAGCGTCCGACTTTCGCTTAGGTCATGATCTCGCGGTTCGTGGGTTCGAGCCCCGCGTCGGGCTCTGTGCTGACTGCCAGCTCAGAGCCTGGAGCCTGTTTCAGTCTGTGACTCCCTCTCTCTCTGACCCTCCCCTGCTCACGTTGTCTCTTTCTCTCTCTCTTAGAAATAAATAAAACATTAAAAAATTTAAAAAAAATATATCAGTCTCAACACTGCTGGGAAGACATTCTCTGAGGTACAAAGAGATCCACAATTGGCGGGCTTTCAGCGGAGCAGATTGCCCTCCGTGGTGTGATGGGCCTTGTCCAATCAGGAGATGGTCCTAAGAGCAAAAGGAATGTCTCCTGGAGAAGGAACTTGACCTCAAGACTATCACGAAACCCTGCCTGAGTGTCCAGCCTGCCGACCCGCCCCGTAGATCCCAGCTCAGTGGCCCCAAGGGCCTAGGAGCTGCCCCAACATCGATGCCTGGCATCTGCAGTCACGTGTCCAGGCGTCAGCCCGTGCAACCGCAAGGAAGGCGGAGACACCTGTGTGCAGAGGACACAGAAGCCACTGGAACGGGCACCTGGATGCCTTGCAGTGTCTGACAGTGGGGGAGGGGTGAGCACACTGCGGGGCGTCTACCCAGGCCGACGCCCAGCCTGAAATGAAAAAGGTCAGCGACCAGCAGCAGTGTGCACACGGCCCTCTACACTTGCACACGGCCTCACAGGTGTGTGCCTTACAGCTGGAGACAGTCTGGAAGAAACGAACCAAGTCAAAGAACCCGTGTGGCATCTTCCTGGAAACTGAAAACAGCCACCCCCCTGACCTCCAGGCCCACCCAGGCAGATGCACCGCAGGCTGACACTGCCCGCTCTCCCATCCCCTTTGTGCAGTGAACGACATGCACGGCCATGCGGGGCAGCCTAAAATATTAACTCCAAGTTGGAATGGGTTATGAGTCATTGCTGTGTTTTTACTTATGCTCACATCATTTTCTAAGATTTGTGCCTTAAGTGTTGGCTGATGTTTTATCGGAGGAGAAATAAATAGCACTGGAGGCAAACCCGCAGCTCTAGGCTCACACTCTTCCAGCCGCTGACAGGGGCGGGGTCGGGACATCACCTGCCCAGCGTGTGAGTGACCAAGTGCCCCCAGACCCCCTGGAGCCAAAGGTTCTAGTGCTCCGAACCCACGACCTGTGCGGGCCCTTCGTGGGGGGCCAGACTCAGATGCCCCCCTGGAGAAGAAGGACCCGGTGGGGGCTCAGGCTCAGTCGCCCCCCCCCCGGGACAAGAAGGATTTGACCCCCCAAGACAAGTGACACCCCCTCTAACTCCAGCTCAGCCTGCAGGGAACTGTCCCCTCCCTCCCAGTCTCCTGCCCAGGACCCGCCCCAGGGCTCTTCCCCACCTGCTGGGCCTGGTGCTGGGCCCCAACAGCGTCACACACACTCACACAGGCACATGCACACACGCACACATGTATGCACACACACAGGCACAGCATACAGACACACTGCACACACACAGGCACACACAGAGACAGACACACACGTGCACACACACAGATAAACACATGCATGCACGCACAGATGTGCACACACACATACATGCCTGACACACGCAGACACACACAGGTACACACACATGAGCACACACAGAGACAGACTCACCCCTGCACACACACTGGATTCCACTTCACTGACTGAATAGGCTCACCGATTAGGAAGCTCTGCTTGCACGCCAGCACAACTGCCCCCCATCACACACATACCCCACGCCCTGATCTTACTTTCATGTGCTGGACATTCACGGAAAGCGTCACCTCCCTCTGCCATCGGACACAACGCCCTCTTTGCTGAAAGAATTAAGTCTGGGATTTGATCGATCCACTCACTCGTTCGTTCCCTCCACAACCTTGTGCTGAGAGGGCGCCAGGCCCTCGGAGAGTCCTGTGAGCGGGATGAACATGGGGCCGCCCTCGTGGCTGACAGTCCGGCTGGGAGGGCACTAAACTATGGTAGGGGGACAGACCCAGCCACTTGAATGGTGGCACGTGACATCCCACTGGGGAGCGGCCCGGAACCAGAGCACCACGCCCAGGCCGGGGGAGGGGGTGGGGAGCTTCCGTGACAACATCCTTGTTTTAGAGAATCCGAGTTCAGTGTGCGATCAAGGTCAGGGCTCAGCATGTGACCAGGGACAGGTCTCAGCATGTGACTAGAGTCAGGGCCCAGAGTGTGACCAGGGACAGGGCCCAGAGTGTGACCTGGGTCAGGGCTCATTGTGTGACCAGGGTAGGGCCCAGAGTATGACTAGAGTCAAGGCGCAGCGTGTGATCAGTGTCTGAGCTCAGTCTGTAACCGTTAGACTTAGTGAGTGGCCAGGAGGAAGGTTTAGTGTTTAACCAGTCAGCTCTCCAGCTCTGAGTAGGACCAGGGCTCAGTCGGTGATGGAGCTCACATTCTCCCCCCCAACCCCCACTGAGCAGGGCCAGGGACCCATGTGTGGTCATGATCAGGGCCCAGTCTGTGGCAAGGATTCTGGGCTTCAGGCTCAATGTGTAGTCATGGTCAGGGCTCAGTATGTGCTTGGGATCAGGGCTCAGTCTCCGGGGGAGCCAGGGTTCCCGACCTTCATTCTCACCCCTGTTCCTCACTCTGAGAGCAGTCGCTGCCCCTCGCTCTGGCCCCAGGGTGGCCTGGCCCCTGGGCCTGTGCACCTCTTCCTGTGGAAATTCCCTTTGGTTCTGGCCATAATTATGTTTAAAAGCCCCACTTTGGCCGGGGGATTGGATCGGGGAGCAGGGGCTCGGAGCCAGGGTGCTGCGGAGAAGTCGAGCGCCGGGGGCCCGGACAATTCCTCCGCAGCCCAATCGGGGCTCCTGCACACCCGGATTTGCATAAATCTCTAAGCCGATTAGAGGGACATTCAGAGGAAGCAGCGCAGGTACTGAGCCAGCCAAGCGGCCCCTCCCTCCCCACGCGGATTAATCGCTCCCACCCCAGCTGGCTGCAAAGCCGAGTTCATTACCTCCCCCCACCAAGCCTGCTCCTCCTCCCAGCTCCTTCCCTGCTTCGTTTATTGCCACAAACCTAGAATCCGTGTCACCCCAGATGCCCCCTGCATGCTCTCCACCCAGTCCACCATGTCCATCCCCTTCGCTCTGTCCCCTCCACGCCAGCCACAGGCCACCCCCTCCCGCCTAATCCTTGCCTCGCCATCCCCCAGGTATCCCTGACATCGGCCTTCTCCTCCATCCAGTCCTGCTCTGAGTCCTCATGACAAATGCCCTGTGGCGTCTGTCTCGCTGGCCCCCGGGCCCAGGGCGCTGGCCAGGGCACACCGTCCGTGCACGGTCGTGGCTTGATGTCTGCAACTCCTGTCCTGCAGGACGGGTCTCCCTGGCCCTTCGGGCCTCATGCGACCTCCCGGCAGACAGGAACACATCACCCCGGGCCGGCTTGTTCCTCTGTCCTGGGCTCTGGGGAGAATGCCCAGCCAGGAGAGGGTCTGCACAGCGGCAGTGCTCACACAGAACGTCATTACCCCAGAGGCTGGTGCCTGGCCGGAGGCTGGCCCCTCTCTTCCTGCTCCCCTTGCCTCTGAGAAACACACTGTGTGTGTGGGGGGCATGTCCCCTCGGCCCACCCAGCTGCTGCAGCAACAGCAGAAATACTGGTGGGGGGGTGCTGACTGGGATCACAGTGCTGGGCCTTGTTGGGCCCCCATCGGGCTGTGTGACCAGGTCAAGCCTGTCCCTCACTGGGAAAAGGAGGGCGTGGTTGGGCTGATGTCTGAGCTCTGTCTTCGTTCCAACACCTTAAATCTGTGAACAAATTGTGACAGCGTCAGATGAAATGATGCATTCACACGCAGTCCACAGAAACTTGGGTGGAGGAGTGAGCACAGAGTGTGGGTGTAGACTTGTGAGGGACGGGGATCCCTCACTCATGCAACAAAAATCTGTGCATATAAGGGATTTGGGGGCCACCATCATCACCACCACCATCACCATCATCACCACCACCACCACCATCACCATCACCACCATCTATACCATCACCATCACCACTACCATCTACACGATCACCATCACCACCTTCACCACCGTCTACACCATCACCACCATCACCACCGTCACCACCATCACCACCGTCTACACCACCACCGTCACCACCATCTACACCATCATCACCACCATCACCACTGTCACCACCATCTACACCATCACCACCACCATCACCACCATCTATACCATCACCATCACCACCGTCACCACCACCACCACCATCACCACCACCACCACCACCATCACCATCACCACCATCTACACCATCACCATCACCACTGTCACCACCATCACCACCACCATCACCATCACCATCCCCACTGCCTCCATCATCATCAGAAGCACCATGGTCATCATTCTGTATCACCATCATTAACGTCTGTCTCGACTATCCTAGGTTCTCATAAAATAAGAACAGATCAGCTGATGGCCCCTCCCCCCCAGAGCAACAACGACAAGGTTCTGAACAGCCGGTACCAGGTGGGAGCAGAGGTCCTCATCCCGCTCTGGAGTCTCCCTGCTGGAGCTGGGCGCCGTGGCAGTATCGCAGCCAATGAGGTTTATCCGAGGCGCGATTATTGCTAATTGGAATCTCCCTGCTGGATGGGCCTCACTCCAGTCTCCGCCCTGCAAAGCTGCAAACCTCAGACATGGCCAGCCACCGTCCCTGCTCCCTGCCCCCGTGGGGTCCTCACCAGCTCTATATGCTCTGTGGGGGACCCAGGACCACAGGAGGATGGGCTGGATCGGGAGACCTGTGCCACACTGGGTACATCTGTGCTGAGTGGTTCCTGATGGAAATCCCTCCTTCAGCCGCCCCAGTCAAGGTCAGCATGGCGCTGGTGCCTAATATCTGAGCCAGGACATCGAGCCTTCTTCTAATTCAGGCTGTCCAGGGGACCCCGGTTCCTGTCTACACCATGTCTCTCTCTCTCTGAGACTGTTTTCATTCCCTGTGGTTGCTGTGACAAATTAGCACAAACTTGGTGGCTTTAAATGACACAAATATTGTCTCATGATACTGTGTGAGAAGGCCAAATGTCCGGCACCAAGATGCAGCAAGAACACCCTCCCCGGAGGCTCCAGGGAGAGGAGAGCCCTTGTCTTTCGCAGCTTCTGGTGCCCTTGGCATTCCTTGGGCCGTGACCATATCTCCGTCTGTGCCCATGGGGCCAGGCCCCTGCCTCCTGAGCATCGCTGGCCCCACGGCTGACGCAGACCTGGGGGAGGGCTCCCCCTCTGCCACACTGACACGCAGACCTCGAGGAGGGCCCCCCCCCGGGATACTGACCTCCGGGGACCCCCCCCCCCCGCCTGGGACGCACACCTCCAGGAGGATCTCCCACTGGGACGCAGAACCCAGAGACAGAATCCACGAGACTCACTGTCCCCACATGGGGCCCGGGCTCCGCATCTTCTCTGAGGCTCCTCAGGCTCCGGGGAGCAGCAGTGGAGGGCTCAGCCGGGGTCCTCTTCACCCCGATTACCCAGGAGGCCCTGAGAAGGACGGGCCACGTCTCCTGAGCGCCATGAGGCACAGGGTCCTGCCTCCGCGTGTCCTGCAATCACCTGCTGGAAGGAAGGTCACCTCGATTCCCTTGACGGGGGTGACAGAACCGAGCTCCCAAGTGCAAGGTCCCCTCAGGGTCACAGAGTGAGAGGCAACGCTCACATCTAAGCTGAGTCTCCGTGTGTGCGGTCACCAGGAAGATCCGCTGTCCCTGTTTTGGGGTCACGGGGCAGCTCAGTGCCTGGAGAACATCGACCACAGAGAGCCTGGCCCTTCCCCACCTCAGGGCTGATGTGGGTCAGGAGGCCACGCTTCTGGCCCCAGGGACAAGCCTCTTGCCGTGCGCCCCCGGTACAGTCCCTGGACCCTCCAGGCCTCTGATGGGTCACCTGAAAAGTGGAAAAGAGAGTCCCTCCTTCCTTCATGGGGCCCTGGGTCTGACGGGGTGGAGGGGGATGAAGATGCCTGGAGGAGGGAGGGGGAGCACAGGTCAGGGCTCCCAGGGCCGCCCAGGAGCCCAGGCCCCGAGGGCTGGTCCAGAGGCTGCTAACCGTCAGGGGACAGAGCTGGACCCACACCTGTGCCTGGACACGGGCTCAGCCGCCTCTCCACAGCCCTGCTCGGGGCCCTGCCGTCTCCAGCCCCTCCCTGGCTGCCCACCTGGGTCCCCATCCATCATGCCCATGATGCCCCACCTCTCTGTGGCGCCCTCCCTTCCCGAGTGCCACCCTCCATCTCTGTTGGACACCAAGGAGCCCAACCCTCAGGGCCGCCCACCTCCCCTAACGAGGACAGAGCGCGTCACAGTGTCCCCGCGGAGAGCAGACAGGCAGTGATGGCCTCGCCCCGCCCCTGCCGCCCTGGGCGCCTCTGGCAGGAGCTTGCCTCCTCTTTCCAAGCATAAACGGCAACTGGCTGTGGCTCCCACGCCCCCAGGCCTGGCTCTGCCAGCTCTCTGGGTAGCTGACAGCTGTCGCACGCTGTGGCGGGCATATGCTCGCCCAGCCTCACCCCGCCAGCAGGGGGGCCTGCAGCCTGCGATGGGAAAGCTGCCCTCAGGCCCCAGGCCCTGCCTGCTCTGTGCTCCTCTGCCCCCCCCCCCACCGCCTCCCCCCCATCCGGCTCCCCAGGGGGCAGCATGGCCCTGACTGGTGTAGGCGCCACCAGCTCGGCTCAGGGTCCCTTCTCCGTGGGCCTCAGTGTCTCTTCTGTACAGTCAGGCCCGTGGCCCCAAACCTCTTCCGAGTCTGTTATCCCAGCAGAGACGTGCGAGGCCCCACCTGGGACTGGGGTACAGACGAAGCCCTCGTTTTCCATGGGGGCACCCACTCTCGTGCTGGGGGCTGAGAGGTCAGGCAAAGGCCAGGGGGCCTTGGGGGGTAGTTGGGTTAGAAAACCCTGGTCCCGGAGCAAGATGCCCCCTTCTAGCCCCCCTTCAAACCCCCTTCTAGGTCCCCTTCCAGCCCCCACTGAGCAGTCTCAGGTCGGAACCCAGGGCTCAAGGGAAATGGGCAGCCGGCGCCTCCAGATCATGGTTCTGGAGGGTGACATTGGCTGATATGACACCAGGGGCCATCACTACACACACACACACACACACACACACACACACACACCCCTTGTCCTCGGGGAACAGACTTCCATGGGAGGATTTTGTGATTTGGGGAAAAGCATGTAAGGCCCCAGGGGGACCACACCCGATGCGCCATGGCCAGGGAACGTGGCCAACTGGTGAGGGAGGCAGGCAGCTCCGCCCGGGCCCTTTCCTTGCGGTCAGCACGGCCGGTGTGGTCTGGAGGGGGGATGGCCAGCCTCTGTGTATGGTGGGAGGGGGGAGGCGGGAGGACTCTGAGAAGGGCAGGTGGTGGTGGAGTGGGAAGGACTCACAGGGGCTGGAGCAGTGTGATCGTACTCACTCGGCTGGGGGCGGTGGGGGTGGGGTGGGCAGCAAAGGACGGGCCTTTAGGGGTAACCACCCCCAACCAGGGCATGTGCAGAGGGCAGGGGACATCGGGAGGGGCCCCAGGTGGATTCTGGATGTACCCCTGCCCCCTAATACCAGACTCATAGAAGCACCAGGTCAGGGAACGACAGAAGATCCATGACTTTTTGGAAACGACCTTGACCATGGTGTCTGGGGTTCTGAAGGGCTCCTAAGGGCCAGCCGATGCTTGGTTAATATTCATGCCAGGAATTAACCGGGTGACATCAGATGCCAGAGTCGTGCCTCAGAGAACTGTCCTTTGACGCCACACCAGGGCTCTAGCAGGACATTCCCTCCCTACAGACCTCATACCTGACCTTTGCCCCCTACTTCCCACCATTCCTGCATGGACCTCAAGTGGTCCAGACTCTCATTTTCCCCTTCCGTCTCCATCACTGTCCAGGGGACATGCGGGGCCTCAGCCTTGCCCGCCTTGGCGTGCCCTGGTTTGGACCATCAGCTGCCTTGCTGACTTTGCCCCCTGGCATCGGGCATTGCTCAGCCTGTCCCCGGACCCCAGGCCCTGGGCTTGCTCTGCCCCCACCTTCACGTCTGGCCCGCGGCTGGGGCTTGGTCTTCAAGGAGTGCAAATTTCCCTAAAGCATCTGACAAGGCTTAGCTCCAAGTCTCCACCCCACTCTTGCTCAGGTCCCCGGGACCCAGTGCTGGATGGAAACTTGTCTCCCCATCACACACGCTCCAAGGGAGGGAACCTTATGGTCATTGCCATCCTGCACAGAGCAGAGGGCGGCCTCTTAGTGAGGAAGCAGGCGCTCAGCTGAACAGACCTGGGCGGCTGAAACCTTCCAACCACCAGCTGAGCGGGAAGTGGATCCTTCCCCGCTTGAGCCCCATATGAGACCTCTGCCCCCACCTCGACTGCAGCCTGTGGGGACCCTGAGCAGAGGTCCTGGGCCAGTGGTGCCGGCTCCAGACCACAGACTGTGTGAGACAAGTCACGGGTTTCATCCCGCCACAGTCACTAGCCGTTTGAGATGGCCGGGGGTCACCAAGGCGGGTCCTAGGCGGAGACGCCTGCCCTTCTCACCCGATTTCATGGCCAGTGCCCCTCCTTGCACCCGCAGACTCCTGCACCCTCTCCACTTGTATCGCCATAGCCCTCAGCACCCTCTCACGTACCACACGAGCCTTAGCTCCGTGAAGCAGGGTCTCCACGGATGGAAGCCAAAGGCCTGGATCAGGGCCTGCACACGCTGGGCGCTCAGTCGGTGTTTGCTAAATGAGGCCTCGCTGCAGGGCACCTGACACAGCCCAGGGCTCCTGTAGAGGTGGTGGTAACACTGAGCCATTCTCCCACGCATGAGTATACATATGGCTGTCACCAGAGGGGGACACAAAGGCCCTCGGGAGCCCCCAGGACAAGTTGCTCAGGTGAGTTCACATCAGGGCCATCCGTGAGCTCACAGAAGCAAGGATGGAGACAGGGATGGATAGTGGGGACGGGGTGCAGTTACAGCCGGCCACCCCTCAGCTCACACCACCCCCGCGGGGTCAGGGAGCCAGGGCACCTGGCCGGGCAGCCAGCTCCTCACCTGCAGGGGCGCTGGGAGGCGAGCGGCCAGGGAGTCCCTCAGGGCTTGCCTGGGAGGTGGGGGTGGCCCCCAGGAAGGTCAGCTCGCTGCAAAAAACACACATTTCCTGGACGATTGCAATCTCTCGCCCTCATGTTTGAAACTTGCTTCTGCCATATCCTGCCCTTCCTCTGGGACAAACAATTCCGCTGGTGCCAGGGCCGGCTTTCCATTCATCTCTTTGAGATGCAAATTCCCTGCGGGGCACCCTCTCCACTGGCTGCTTTCTCCCCCAGGGAGCCCACTGATCACTGCAGCCTGGGGCAGCCACCGGGCTTGGCAGTCCTCGATTCTCTGCTTGGTCGGCATTAGAGGCCCTGCCCAGGCTGCCCGCTCCACCTCGAGGGGCGGGCACGGGCCCTGCTGGTGTAGTGGGCAGCTGTGCCCCATCTGGTCTCTGTTCAGAAGCCTCCTTTCTAATTCAGAGAAGTGGCAAGGAGTCAGTCCCGGTCTGGGGTACCCTCCTCTGGCCTCTGCTCCAGATCATGACCATGTCCCTCCTCTGGGGTGAAATTGAAAGCCAAAGTGACAATCAAACCGCCTGTCATTTAAGTGAGAGATGACACGTCACCTTT